CTCTGTCTCTTGCTTTTTTTTTCACATTTTTTTTTTCAAAACAGGGTTTTTCTGTGTAGTTGGCCGCACTAGACGTCCTGGAACGTCCTGGAACTGACTCTGTAGACCAGGTTGGCCTTGAACTCACAGAGATCTGCCTGCCTCAACCTCCCAAGAGCTGGGATTAAAGGCGCGCACCACTACTGCTCAGTGGCTTCCTCTTTTTCCCTAGTGTTTTCAACCATCTCCCTAGAAGCAAAACAGTTTATGTTTTGTTATGGTTGAGGTCAAACCCAGGACCTTGTGTAGGTCAGACAAGAGCTCTACCAGAAGACATACTCCTTCCTGTCCTAAAAAAGAAAAAAAAAAAAGAGATAATTTAAAAGTTCAGCTCTGACTTTTCCCACCTCTTTGGGAACTCCTCCAGACTCTGCCTCACACGGGCTGCCCCAGCTCTTCCGTTCTCAAGGACAATCTTTCTGTTCTCTGCGGGGAGGCCCTATCCCTCTTCATCTAGATGCCAGTATCCTCTGCCCCCTAGTTTGTCAAGCTAGTGGATTCCCCCTACTCCCACCCCACCCTGCCCCCCCACCCCCACCCCATCTCTGCTGAAGGTCCTTCTCAATGTAGAGCCCTGTAGGGGCCCACAGCACACAGGAAACTTTCCTTTGTGAATTCAGCCTATACACATGTAGAGATGAAACTGGTGCTGAAACTTTGAGACATCAAAGGACAATCTGACTTCACTGTCCTGGAAACTGAACCCCAAAGAACCTCACATTTCTCCCTCCCTCAAGCCCATCCTTTACTGCTCATCATAAGTAATCAAGGCTTTCCTATCCTGAGGGTTGGCCCAGAAGGAGCAGGAAACCTATTACCTGCCTCCTCTGGCAACCGCAGCGCCTCAGATTAGAGACTTAAAGGATTTCAGAAATTTTACACTGAAAGGAGCTCAGAGAACGTGAGTCATGCAGGCATAAGGAAGCGAAACAGACGAGAATGTGTTTGGCCCTGGGTATTCCCAGTCACTTCCCAGACAGAAGGAGACTGACTAGCTCTCGGTGACTCACCCTAATAACTATCAGGTGAACCAGACTGACATGAATTCTCCGGAACTGATAACAGGAATACCCTGCCATCGGAAAGTATCCTGGGATCAGAAGTACTCTGTGCCAGAAACATGGGACCAGCTGTGTCTCTACAGAATATCAGAATTTATTGGATAACAATAAGTTTATGTTGGTTTCACTAGTTACAATGTACCAGCTAATCAATATTTCCCTGACACTGTGGCTATCCATAATCACACTTTCTTCTCTCTCT